TAAGCAACTGACTTCGGTAACAATCCACTGCAGTTCTTTAGTTGTAGGGAACTTTTTTATGTTGAAAATTTCCTCAGCATCAATTTTGGACCACTGTACTCTGGTACAAAAATACAGGGCATTTAATTGGGCTGGGCACAAAATAGTGGCACCATGCAGTGATAAATTGGTCAAAGCACCAGGAGCAGTGGTGCTAACTCTCTGGGAAGAGAACAATGATAACTTGTGTGGTAAATTTACAGTGGTGCCTCCTCTGGAGTGCTAAGTTTGTTAGAGGTCTTAATACAGCAAATGCGGCATTAAATTTGCCAGGAGTGTGAAGTGTTAAATCTGCTGCAGAGCAGGCCAGTGTGCTATTAAATTAACTTGATTTTGAAGGGGGAGGATGCTGCAAAAGGAGGAAGGGACAGCAAAGAAAACCATAGCTATTTAGTGTTGGAAGAGCAGAGCTGGAAAATTCTGAGGAGTTTCCTGCATTAAGGTGGTGGCTTGGACGGGGGGGGGGGGGGTGGAGAATCTTGAGGTGGCTGAGGGAGAGGGTTTGGGCGGGAAAATGTTGAGGAAGGTTGCACGGGCAGCTGCTGAGGGACGCCATGGGCGGGCAATTCCTGAGGCGGCTAGTGGGAGTGTGTGGCTTGCGCTTGGAGTTGGGTGGCTCCGATTGGAGGGAAGATAGAGGTGGGCTCCCCTAGGGGGAGGAACCCGGGGTGGAGTTGTGGAGCTGGAGCGACGCTGTTTGTGGCCGCTGTGTGGCTCTATTATCATTAGCAGCTGCTCAGCTGCAGCAGGTGGTTGAGGGATAGGGTGACCAGATGTCCTGATTTTATAGGGACAGTCCCAATATTTGGGGCTTTGTCTTATATAGATGACTATTACCCCCCACCCGCTGTCCTGATTTTTCACCCTTGCTATCTGGTCACCCTATTGAGGGATGGGGGAGCATCGCATTAGAAGGAAAGCTACGTAGCCTTGGCTTTGCGGATGATGGGCTCTCAGGTTGCCCTACCTGATGTCCATCTCCAAAAGAGCTGCTACAAGATACCTTCCCATTATAATGGGCAGCATCTGCCTGCAATATCTGAAGGGAGAACATACAATGAAAGCTTTGGTGTTGGGTGGGTAACACCTGTGCATTTTGTGGAGAGGTGCTAGGGGGAAAGCACCTGTTATAAGTAATTAGGAGAACAAATCTGCCTCCACCCCCAATTTCCATCTTGAAAATTTTGGGCTACTTGGAATTGGAGATAAGAACGCAGAGACCACCACAGAGGGTCGCATTTTTGTAAATCTAGATAAATGCAGCCACTGGTGGGACGACTAGCAGCCAGTAGATGTTGCAAGTCTGAGGTTTCAGCCAAGCATGCCAGAGAAGCCACTTACAGTATGTCTACACTGCCAGGTGAAGTTGTGATTGTTGCATGCCTGTGTTAGCTTTAATCGAGCTAGCCTGGATAACAGTCGCAGTGTCTATGTGGAAGCATGGGTTAGCAACCGAAGTACAAGCTCTGTGTCCCTGCAGCACAAACGTGATCTCTATTTAAAGGTGAATCTGACTGTGATTCTCCAGCAATAGAATCTGCTCATAGCAGATCAGGGTTTGAAAAGGTATTCTTAACCCCTTGCTTTGCAGTAGGACATGTTTCCAATACATGTATTGCTACACATTTAAAGGTTCCCATCAATTAAAATTTGAGAAGTCCATCACACAAACAGCCTGACATACAAGGCATACAACTGCTAGTCCATGCTACCCACATTACCTGGATAGCCCCTGTCTACCATTTCCTCAGCTTCCCCCATCCTCTCCCTGAGGGGGAAGCCAGCTTCCACCTGTTTGACAGGTGCAATCGAAGTTGGCATCAACCTGTTCTGCTTGAGGAGTTTCCAGCTTCTGCTTTTCTCCCAAGAACAGATCATTAGTTCGAGAAGTTTGAGGAGGAGATGCTCAAAACATGTTAAAACTGTTTGTGGCTTTGCATTCCAGTCTCCTTTAGATCATCTTTCTTTTTACTACAACACCTGCCTACTTAGAACCACAGTGCAGGGTTGGAACACCAGTAATGTCCCCCCCAGCAGCAGCCCCTACTGCTCTCCAAGGTTTGTGGGTGGGGGGAAGCCTTTGAGACAGACGGGGAAGGGACAATTCCTCCAGCATTTGCTAATTTGGACTTTTCTACCCTGCCCCATGCCTGTGGGCTAAGCTGCCTGCAGTACCGCCTGTGGTCGCTAGAGGTCGCTGTACGGCTTGTTTAGCTGTGAGCAGCTGTTTGAGATCTACAGTTCCAGGTGTGAGACCCGCAGACCAGAGCCCAGGAGAGCCTGCAAGGCGAATTCTCAGGCAGCCAAGGCCTCACCCCCTCGGCAATGGTGCACAAAGCAGGTAAGAAGGACCTCCCTGGGTAGGAAACCTCAGCTTTTTCCTAGAGCCTGCAGCCTGCTGGGAAGAGACTAGGGCGGGACATGGGGCTTGCATGAGGAGAGGGGAAGCAGACGTGGGAGCTGGTTTAGGGGAGTTGGGGGCTGCAGTGTGTGCGTGGGAAGGGGAGCTAGACTGGGCAGAGCTGCAGAGGGGGCCTGGTTGGGAGCCATGTCATGCCCAAGGGGCGCGAAGGGATGCCCTGTTTGTCCCTTTCAGGCTGACGTTTCACATCTCAGAACATGCATTAATAACTTTCTGTATAAGTTGCAAGGTATTATATGTAATAAAAATACGTAGCAAGACTTTTTTTTTCCCTGAGGGGCAGATAGAATGGTGAAGGGGTCTTGTGTTATGTTTTGTTATCGAGTTGGGTTTTTTTAATGACATGTCAAATTAATTTAATTGTTGTAATATAGGTGTTTTCAGTACTGAGCTTCGTGGAACTAGGCTTCTGCGGTGGGTGCATTGTATAAATGGGAACAGAGTGCTTGAGCCTGAATTTTTTTATGAAACAAGAATAACATGCGCTGCAGCCGCATGCCAAGTACGGGTGACAAGACATCAAACTCGTTGCTTGGAAGGGAACAGAACATTCCTGAGCTTGCACTGACCAAAGAGATGCTGATGCAGTGCGTTGCCCAACAGCTGACACTGCATGCTGATGAAAAATTATTCTTTAAATAAGTTGAACTGAAGACACTTAGGGAGAAATACACCCTTGTGCCTAAAGAATGCACAAGTCTCTTAGCACCACTTAAGCCCCACTTTAAGGGCTTGAAGTTCAGCTATATTCTGTACCGTGATTGCAAATGTTGCACCTACTCATCCAATAGGTCTTTGTGTATGTGCGGAGTCATATCTGCTTACGCTGCTCACAGCACATTTTCATTACTTTTGTTTAATCCTCTTACCATTTCAGAGCCAACACAACCCTGCAAGAGGGATCTGGATTCTATTCTGTCTTAAGCATCTTGAACAAAATTATTAATTAAATTCCCATTAGAAAACCATTACTGTTGATGGGTGAGCCAGAAAGAAGCCAGTATGAATTTCAGCATATGATGGGCTGACTATTAAATAAACAACTCTCTTTTAAAATGTAAATGGAGTGCAGATGATCTGGCCTTATTAGGAGGAACCCCCATAATGTTCTATCCCCCCTCTGTCCTGCAATGAACTCCTGAACCTACACAAAGTTCCTTGCAATACTGGGGCTTTACTTCTCAGAGTATAACTGCAGTTTAGATTATAAGGGGATTGATGCAGGCCCTCTACACGGGGGTAAATCTCACCCTTCTAGAATAAGAAGATATCCCTAGAGTAATGCTTGAAGTCTTCCACATTGAGGCATATATAGAATATGAAAGACTATTTTGTATAGAGCTGAAGCTATTGACTTTGCCAGCAGCTTTTTTTCCTTCCCCCTGTCCAGCAGTTAAAATATTTGGGAGTGAATGAGTGTTGTCTCCTTCACAGTAAATCACGTTTTCCAACTGCTTGCTGCTACAGTGTAATTAACGTAGTTAATTAATAGCACTTTGTCCATTTATATGAGAAACTCAGTGCTTTGCATACAACTAATTCATTGTCACAGAACCTTTGAAGTGCTGAAGGAGTAAATCCATTTTCCAGTTGGGTAAACTGAGGAACAGCCAGGTGCCCAAGGAGCTGAAAATAGACCCCCAGGAGTCCTGAAGCCCGGTGCTGTGGTCTAGCCACTCTTAATGCAGTTTGAGAGCCCACCCTTCTGTGGATGTGGAAATGAGTGTGATTTAATGAGCATGATGATTTCAATGAAGAAGGCTGTGACTACACCTTAAGCATCCTCTCATAAGATGCAGACGTCTTGTTCCATGAACAGAGCATTGTTCTCGGCGGGACCATGCTGAGGAGCGATCACCTTGCCAAGGTCTTAAAAAATGAAGACGCATGACTTTTATACAAGATTGCATTGTTTCTGTTGTTGCCTGGAAACCTGGATGGGGATGGGGCAGCAAAACATGAGGCTGTCCAATAACTTTAGTTTACTACACGTTGTAAAACAGCCACAAAGCGAAGTCTCTTTGCTCCACAGCCTCTCAATAGTCTTCCTGGTTTTGGGAAATGGATGGAAGTAGTGGAACCAGGTAGTACAAAGAAGTTTAAGGGATGGATGGATGCCTAGCTAGCTAGCTAGCATCCCACTAAATAGCAATGTGTCCATGCTGCCATGAAGATGTATTGGGTCACCCTATGGTTCCATTTTATCCAAAGTAATCCGAGCACTCCCCACTTCAACAGGAGTGGAAGGGCACAAAGCACTGTGCAGAATCGGGCCCTACAGTCTGCATAATTCCAGTGTGTGCAATTAGTATCTCAGAGGCCAATGTAAAGGAAGGATCCTCCCAAAGACCTCAGGGACCATTGACATCATAATGCACAAATGGAACGGGGAACACCTCCAAAGATACAACCTCAATTGTCTAGAAGAGATGGGGAAAATAGCGTCCTCTTCTTAGCACTTGCTGTGAGGGCAGAGAGAGAGAGAGAAACGCCAGGCCGATGAAAGATTCAGACATCACAATTCAATCACAAGCTTTTATTTATATTCAGTTCTCGAAATCTCTTAAATAATATAAAAATACAATTACAGTCTTGGATATTCTCCTAAAGGTATAAATATCAATCTGCTTTTCCATTGTGGTTTTCAAGTCTTCATAATCGACTGTTAAATACATACAGTAGAGAAGAAAATAATTTCCCACCCTGCCATTCGCCCTTAGTAAAATGTGTCCAGGCACCTTGTACATCTCTCATATGAGTGACAATATGGATGTGATATTATAGTGTCATGTACACAAACATAGCCCTAAAGAAAAAGGCATAACTCTGCACTCCCAGTATAAAATCCCTTTTTGAGATAGCCAAGATTTAAAATTCACCAAGAGGCTGCAACATGTTACATTACATTGGCTCAAAGGATTAAATCAGCTGGTTTAATCCGAGACACTGCATCTCTCTGTATGTTGAGGTGATCAGAATTTAACAGGAGAAACACATCTTCAGAGTGTATTGGGCTTTCCAGTGTGTGGTTGGATAAGCTCTGAAGATATCAACACAAATCCCAGAACAACCCCCTTTATATATATATATGAATAGGAGTTACTATACCGGTCAGATTGTTAGTCCAATCTATATAAATATATATATAAAGTGTGGGAGTATTTTATAGAATTAGTCAAAATGTTTTCATTGGAACATTTTTTTCCCCAACAAAATGGAAATGTTCACAAAATATAAATTCTAAACCAAAAAACTGGAGGGTTTTGATGAAACCCCCCCAAAAAATTCAAAGAAAAATTCCACACGGGGAAACATCATTACCTGAACAGTTCTAGTATTTTATTATTCAATAGTATATATATTAATATTTATTATATATAGGGCTGTCGATTTTTATTTATATATATATATATATAAAGATTCCTATTGATAAGCGTTAGGAAAAACACCAAGTCTATGTTGTAAAATCAGCTGTAGTCTAGGGCTTCTCAACTGGAGAAAAGTGCTTGAAACAAAAAATTAACCCCCCCAGCACCTGGTATTGGATGGCGAGTGTTCATTGGAAAAGAAGACTCATGACATAGATAAGTGTTGGGACCACCAATAAAGCCTTTGCAGGAGGCTGGATGACACTGACATCAGAGCGGTACACGATTCTGTCACTGAGAGGTTGAACAGGTCGGAAATTGTCGGTCATGAGTAATGTTTTATCCTTAGTGAAGTAAAGCGTCTCCAAGAAGTTCTTCACCTGCACACCACCATCCAAAAATAGTTATTTTTTTGAGGGAAAGAAAAGGGAATTGTCCTATCTTGAGTCTACAGTTCCTCACACTGTAGTATTGCTCTGAACCACAAGAGTAGATAACGTTTTCACCCCTCTTAGCCCAGTGCCACCAAAACTTGTTCCCCAGATCACTGGCAGATGCTTCCTTCTAGCCCAGGCAGACTCCTTAAACTTCCTCCCAGATAAACATCCCAGTCCTGTCTAGTGCAAGCCACCCTGGAAAGACAGGTCTTTTCTCTATGTTCAGCTCCTGCCCCCATCCCTCAGGGCGAGGGAGAGCTCAGTGGTTTGAGCATTGGCCTGCTAAATCCAGGGCTGTGAGTTCAATCCTTGAGGGGGCCACTTAGGGATCTGGGGCAAAATCAGTACATGGTCCTGCTAGTGGAGGCAGGGGGCTGGACTCGATGACCTTTCAAGGTCCCTTCCAGTTCTAGGAGATAGGATATCTCCATTAACAAACAAACAAAACAAAGGTCCCTGTGACACAACTCGCGGGGATCAAGATTACATGCCTCACCTCCTCTGGCTCTTCTCTAGAGCCTAACTCCTGGCTACTTGCAGCAGGAATTTAGCCAGCAGCTGCCAGCTGTGAGGCACACCCCCAATTTCTCATTTCCCCCATTGCACTGGTTCACATCTGGCTGGGTGTTTGGGTTCTCGGCAAACACCGAGCAACTATCATTAAGCTTACGGACTCAGTCTGATGGGATATCACGCTGTGGACATACTGATCATGGTCATTGTTTGCCGATGAGGAACTGACCCAGAAGGGTTGTGACTTGTCCAAGCCTACTCAATGAGTTCATGGTAGAGCTGAGATGGGAGCGCCAACAGATCATGACCACTGGACCACCCTGCCTCTATAAGGTATTATACTGGTAAGTACCCCCATGACCCCTTGCTTTATAGAAAGCAGAAATAAATTAATTCAGGTTGAAGTTGAAGCAGGACGGAATGGTGTTTTTGACTTGATGGATGCAAAGATATAATTTTAAAAATATTCTGTTCTATTAAAATAAAATTCTAAACGGGGCTAGAGGAAAAAGGCCAGTCACCCATTATTTAGTTCTCAGAAACAATTCAGCGACACATTCCAAAACATCTGAAGTTAAGGGATGATTCAGACCCTCATTTAGAGGCACTATGGGGCACTGGATAGAGCACTGAACTAGCATTCATCTGAATTTGGATCCCACTTCTGCCACTGATTCACTGTGTGGCCTTTGGCAAGTCACTTAATTACAATGTGCTTTAGTTTCCCCACCTTTAAAATGGCAATGATACTAACATTCCTTTGAGAATTGCTCTGAGATCCTTGTATGCAAAATGCCATATAAGATATAGTATATGCCCATCCCCTTTTTTTGGAGTGGGGAAGGATTCTGAGTTTTGTTCTGTTTTTTTCACCAAAATGAGTGGTGGGACAGATGGCAAACATACTGGGCAGTGTATGATCTGTTGTGGTGACATTGATTTGGAGTCTCTTAAGATTGGATGGCAGAAGGTAATGGAGAAGGGGACAATCCTACATTGGACATGAGAGAGCATATGTGGGAGGGAAGAAAAGAAGGTGGGGAGTGGGAGTGAGACAGACCAAATGACCTCACTACTCCTTTCAGTCTATAACTCGAGGAATTACCTGACTTTCCTTCAGTATGATTGGCTCCTGAAATATTGTCCAGACGACAGCCTGGTTGCAGTTGGGCGTGGTCAGTGAGCCATTGTACCGATAATAATGTGTGAGATTCTCTTTAGCTGGAATGAGCGATTGCAGGGGCAAAGATGTCATACTTTTTTGAGACCCTAGGAAAACAATGGAAAAACATCAGCTGGAATGGGCATGGTTATAGGTTCACTTTTACAGCTCCCTTCAACTCTGGCTGCTGCTACCAACTCTGTTGCAGTGCCACCCTCATAGTCCCCCATCGCTGGTTGTGGGGGAGGTGGGGGCTACTGGATGGGCCTAGCAAGGGAACCACTGTGCCTGCCCGTCTCAAGAGCCCCTGCAGAGCACAGCTATACAGCATGGACACCTTGTGTGCAGGGGCCGCTCCAGGCACCAGCGCAGCAAGCGCGTGCTTTGGGCGGCAAGCCGCGGGGGGCGGCATGCCGGTTGCTGTGAGGGCGGCAGTCAGGCGGCCTTCGGCGACATGCCTGCGGGAGGTCCGCCGGTCCTGCGGTTTCGGCGGCAATTCAGCGGCGGGTACGCCGAAGCTGCAGGACCGGCAGATCACCCGCGGACCGCCCGCAGCCTAAGCCCGCCTGACTGCCGTGCTTGGGGCAGCAAAAAACATAGAGCCGCCCCTGCTTGTGTCTAAGCTCTCCATACCCTGCTTCCTTGCTTAAAATCACTTCAAAGTTTCTTCTGAATTGAGGGCAAGTCTACGCTTAAAACGCTGCTGCACCTGTATAGCGCTTTAATCAAGACGCTCTAAGCCGACAGAGAGAGCTCTCCCATCGGCTTAGTTAATCCACCTCCCAAGAGGCAGTAGCCATGTTGGCAGGAGAAGCTCTCCCGCCGATGCAGCGCTGTTGACATGGGGGGGTAGGTCGTGGATTTTTCATACCCCTGAGTGATGTAGTTATACCGATATAGCTCTGTTGTGTAGACCGGACCTTAGGCTTGATGCTCCTATCTGTGAATTCAAACGCGGATCTCACTTGAGTACTAGGAGAAGGACTGGCCGCTTTATATATCCTACGTGTAATGATTATCTTGATAAATAAATTCAAATTGCCCGATGATAAATCCAAGCTCCTTACCTTTGACAGCAACTTCATTTAACATCTCTATTAGAGGTTCATAGTTTTCATTTTTTGCACCGGTCTGAAACAATATTTTGAGTCAGAAAATGTACCCATTTCCTCAGACATTTGCCCCTCATGTAACTTTTAATTTAATTATTAATGAAACAGAAAAGAAGTGGGAAAGAAAGCGGAACAAAAATCAATTAGCTGAACATAACGAAGTCACTGCGGATATGTCTACTCTACAGTCAGAGGTGTGACTGCTGCATGTGTAGGCATTCCCAAGCTCGCTTTGATCTAGCCAGCTCGAATAACAATAGCAGTGAAGTTGCAGTAGGATGGGCTTGGTGCGTGAGTCCATACCCAGGGTCCTGGGTGGGCTTGTGTAGCCTGTGCTGCTTGTGGTATCACTGGTATTGTTATTCAAGCTAGCAAAATCAAAGCTAGCTCAGATGCTGTGTTGCAGTCACGTCTCTCTGATCGCAGTGCAGACATTTGCTAAGCACTAGAGGTGAGGCCCGACTTAAATGGTTGATCTGGACCCCTGAAAACATTGGGGAACTTTGGGTTCTGGCCAGTTCTATAGCCAAACCCTGCAACTTGGGCCAAGCTTTGGTAGGTGCCAGTCTGAGGTGGCTAATTTAAAAAAAACCCTGGCAACTTACCTTTATAAAGAACCCCAGCACGGCCAGACCTTCTTTATCCGTCACTGCCTGCTCTGTAGAGGAGAACCCCTCTTTCCTGTGGACTATATGAAGCTGTAATACAGGGATTAACGGTCAATTATTACTCCATTTTCTTTATAGCCATTTATCGTCGGCCAATCCTGGCCCCTTCCCTGTGCCCTGGGTGTGGAGCAGCCACAGCTGTTCTACTGTGGAGGTGGGGCAGGGCCACTCCCTGCCCGCAGCTGGCGAGAGGCACTGTGGACGATATGGGGCTGGTGAATTTGCAAAGACATGTACCCAAAGGCAGCTCCGCCCTCCCCCCCGCACCTGTATAAGAGGAGCTTATGGGCTACTGCCTCCCTGGATCTGCAGTGGTTCCACTGTTACTCCATGACCTGAGGTGGAGGGTGATTTCCTCCCACCAACTCGCTTGGGACCTTCCTGCATCAAGCCCACCTGGTTTGTCTACGGAGGTTGGATTTGCCCTCTCTGCTACTGGAGGAATTTATACCTGTCACTGCACGGTCACAACAGAAATGTCTGAATAAGCAAGTGTGAGACTGGGAGATACCGGCTTTATAGCCTGAACTGCTACTGCCTCCTCTGAAGGCTAAATAATCCTGGGTTTTACTGCCTGTCCTCATTTGCCTTTGCCATGCAAAACTTCCAGCTCCTGGTTGTTTTTCGTCTGTGTTCTGCACAGGGCTCAACAAACAATAAATTCTCAGTTCTTTAATTCCCCTCCTGGAGTCTTGCAAAAGAATCTGTTGGTTTATTTCATTCAACATTAGGTTAAGAAGCCAGAGTTCTTGGACCCGGCTGCGTTAACAGAGAGAGAATCTCACCTACCTCCATAGCGTATCTCTCTCCGTCTATGCTGTGTTCCGATCCAGGGCTGAATCCTTTGCTTGTGCCCCAGTGGAAGTGAAACTCGATCGCATTGTATTTATTTCGAAGACCTCCACCTCCAATCTTTGCTGACCCGCTAAGAGATACTTTAACTGGTAGAAACAAGTAGTTAAAAAGAAAAAAATTGTTTGGCTCTTATTTTAAAAATAGTTGAAACTAGCGAGGGGCATTGGTTGCGAAAGCTCTGGAATCAGGGTTTCCCAGAAGTTCACTGGGTTTTGGATTCAATGCTTTGGCTCAGCCCTTTATATTGAGTGACCTAGATTAATGAACTTCAGATCCAGATCTGACTCTGAACACTCCCGAGTACTGGTTCAAATGTGATTAAAACGGGGAACAGTCCAATCCCTATATCCAGGGCACAGGACTAGGAGTTCAGATACTTGATAGTTTGATTTCCTAATGACCTTGTGCTCATCACTTAGGGCTGATTTGCCAAAGTACTGAGCACCTGTGGCTCCAGTTGAAGTCTATGGCAACTCTAGGTGCATAACACTTCTACAGCTCAGGCTATTAACCTCTCTGTACCTCAGTTCTCTCATCTGTAAAATGGTGATAATGATACTTACCTCTCTTTGTAAAGGGGAGACCTATGGATGAAAAATGCTACGTAACGGAAGAGAATTGTGTACTGCAATCTATGGATTATAGTTGTATTTATTTTGGTGAAAGCCAATTAAATGAGCTTTTGTGGTAGCATCTTCATCGGCCTTTCTTTTAATCAATCAATTATTCTCATCAATTTAATGTTTAAATAAATCAATACTAGCTTTTCAATGCAGTGTAAGGTTAATAGACAATCTCTTCCTTGCTGGGAGCGTCTAAGTGACTGGTTCGTTGCCAAGAGAGAAGCAAGAGCCTATGCTTCTCTCACTTTTAAGACAAACACACTAGGTTTCTTCCTCTGTTATCTAGAAAGGAGATGTTGGAACAGGGATTTTTCCTTTTAAATGTACAGAGTTGCATTCTAGACGGTGAACTTGGTCCCAAGAGGTTTATTTGTTGGTTTCTATTTTTGTCTCCTATTGTGTGTACTGCAGTATTTATTTGCTTTGAGGGTCTTGCAGGGTTTATAGTTAAAGACACTGTTACATGTCTCAACTGTAGGACTCACTTTCACTTTACACCAGTCTAACTATAGAGCTGTGGTTTACAACCTGTGGTTTGTGGGCTCCTGGGGGTCTGCAGACTGTCTAAGATTTCCAAAAGGGTCTGCACCTCCACTCGAAATTTTTTAAGGGGTCTGCAAATGAAAAAAGGTTAAAACCAATGCTATAGAGTAAAACTAGGTAAGTGAAGCCTGTGTAAGAGCAGAGTTTGGGTCCGTTATTAACAGGAGAATAAAACGTATCTCCGGGAAGAATAAAAATATTTTCTAGTGATAATTTCCCTTAACCTTCCGCTGCTTGAGAGGTTTGTGATGCATTTGAAAATGGCGTCTTTGTGCTCTCTGGGAGATGGAATTAGGACCTCTGAGAAGAAGGCTGGTCTAGTAGATAAGGCCCTGGATTGGGACTTGGGAGATACGAGTTCAATACCCAGCTCCCAAAGATTGGCTGCATGTCCTTAGATGAGTCATTTCATAGCTGTGTTCCTCACTTCCCTGTCTGTAAAATGGACTAGTAACATTTCTTTGGTCTGTTTAGACTGTCAGGTCTTGTGGGCCATGACTCTTACTATGTGTATGAAAGACACCTAGCACAATGACAGGTTTCAGAGTAGCAGCCGTGTTAGTCTGTATCCGCAAAAAGAACAGGAGTACTTGTGGCACCTTAGAGACTAACAAATTTATTAGAGCATAAGCTTTCGTGGGCTACAGCCCACTTCTTCGAATGCATATAGAGTGGCCTCTCAGAGTTGGTAAGACAAGTCCCACCTGTTCATGCTCTCTGTATGTGTGTATATATATCTCCTCAATATATGTTCCACTCTATATGCATCCGAAGAAGTGGGCTGTAGCCCACGAAAGCTTATGCTCTAATAAATTTGTTAGTCTCTAAGGTGCCACAAGTACTCCTCTTTTAGCACAATGAGGCTCCAATCTCGGAGCATGTAGGTGCTATTGAAATCTAAAAATAATAATTGCATCCAATCTTATTCTCATTGCACCAGCGGGAGTTTTGCTCCCCCCCTGCTGCAAACCCCCTTTTGCATGTCGGGGAATTAAAGTTCCAAGCGGTTTCTATGAGCATTTATTTTTTATACAAAGACACTTCTATGAGCATCAGCCATGCTTTGAAGATTCCACAATTTTATATTGTACCAAAAAGGCTATTAACTTTGTTTTTTCTTACAAACTTCTTCTGATTTTCTACTAATGTGGACAATCGGCCTAAATATTGAATTTCAAAACAAAAATCTCATTACCCAATCCATCTGCTTTTTTTAATTTCAGCTGTCTCCAGGGGAGCACTTTTCTATGGGGCCATTTAGATTAGGGGCGTGGCTGTCAAGCAACCGGTTCTCTTGACAACAGTCCAGTTTTTTCAACTCTCCTTATGTTTTGGGGTGTCTCTGACAAAAATGGATGCACAGAAATATAAATACAAATGTTTACGCCAGTCCTGTACCTCTTCATACATTATTGTCAAAGTAGGAGGAGGTCAATCTTTCTGCATTGGTTTTATCATCCTACCTGTTGTGGTTTTTGTGCAGCAAAAAAGTCACTGAGAAGGTCATTGGGGTCAGTTAGACACCTCAGTGTTAATCAGTGGGGAAAATGAAAGTATTGCACTTCCAAGGTCTTGGGGCGAGGGGTCTAAACACATACAAAAATTTGAATAAAACATGACAGGCAAGCCATAGCCTCTTTTTTCTCTAAGTGTTCTCAAGCTATGATGAGGACAACCTGTTAACATTGGTTTTGTCTGAATACCTGTTGTGGTTTTAGCATAGCGAAATCCGTCACTTAAAAGGTATTAGGGCCCCAAATTAATTATGCAGGTATTCCAGCATCAGATGATTTTTATTTTGAGGCAGCAGTTATTATATGATTATATGAATCCTACGTCATTGTTTTTATCATCACAGTTTCAGTGTTTTTTGTTTCCCCCCCCCAAAAAAAAAAAAAAAAGTGCACCAAATTGGTCTGTTGGTCTGTGAGCCCCCAGGTAACATTTGCCTCATGTATCATCACAATTGTAGAGCAAATTGAGTTTCTTTGAAGATAGTACCGTCAAACTGATTTTTCTGGGAAGCCTGCACTTGCTAGGAAAAGTTTCTGGGGAAGCCACAATTGTCGGATACATTTTCTGGCAAGCCCACACTCGACAGATGCTGTTACTGGGGCAAAGACTCAAAGTTGCATTGCACACGCATGTTGCATTTCGGAATGCATATATGGTTTCGATTTTGTTGAATTGCAAATGGCACAATAAACCTCTGAGTCAGAGATGGATGTTTCCCAGGGACCTGGGTACAGAAATGGTGAAATCACTGGTGCAAAGAAAGGAGCGATGCAGCCTGGCCTCAGGCTTCTAGGGTAGCAGCATCTGTGTGTGCTGGGTACTGATCCAGAGCCAAATGGGGAAGATGTTACAAGATGTTACATCTGGTCCAGAGAACGAGACAGAAAAATAGGTCAGAAATGTGTGAAGTGTAAAAACTTTGTATGTTCAGAACCTGTGTCACCTATTTTTGCTCCATTTGTTCCAAGTATTTGACCATTTAGTTGCTACTTTGCTGTATCTGTGCCTTTTATATTATTGTTGTTGCTATCTAGTTTCATTGTTCAAACGTGGGGTCAGTTAGACCCTGACACTATTCTGTAGCTTTCTTTAAAATGTGTTTGATCATAGGGCCAGTTAGACCACAAGTACTGTATCTGAATCTAGGAACGTTTTAACTTGTGCATAGTTGTATAGTTCACTGGTTACAATAAAACCAACTTTAAATGTATCCCAATTCCCAATTTTCCCCACCCCCAATTTTGACATACCAGTGACCCCAATAGAGAAATAGTTGGGTGATTTTGGGTCCAATATGAGGGTTAAATCACCACTAAGTGTTTAAAAAAAATACAAACAGTTTTTGTAGACTTAATAACCTGACGCAACACAGTACTGCCACAGAGTATCCCCAGTAATAGTTCTTCCCGATAGACCGCCTGGAAGAACATTAAAGCTGAATCAGTAAATAGCTAATTAATCAGCTCTGGCCAATTAACTTCAGCGTGTGAAGAAAATAATCTCAACACTGAAAATGTTTCTGATAGCAATTAAGGAGCTAATACAACCCAGCAAAATAGGTAAACCCCATTCATTGCCATAACTTACCTGTATGCCCATTATTTTCTATGCGCCAAGGGGAGGACTGATTGGTATTATAGCCTTCAAAAGTAAATGGTTTCAGGTCCTCTTTGTACTTCACTTTGTTGGTGACAATATTGATAGGCGACTGTTTCTTTTTTCCACACTCCTCATTCACTGTATCCCAGACACCGGGCTCTGTTTAAAAGGAAGGAAGAATGGCTTTCATTGAAGGACAAAGTGACTTCATCCCAATAAGGCCAAACTACCCCTTGGTAGATCTACATTCGCTTCAGAGGTTGGGAAAATTTGCTTCAGAGGTTGGCAGAGTTTAATAGGGAGGTTCCTTGACATGTTACAAAATATTTAAAAATGCAAAACAGTGAAATGTGCCCAACAACGACTGATTGGTGCAAGTGGAAAATGTAAGCAGATGAAGTGTGTAACAATGCCCTATTAAATGGGAAGCAGGCCTGTGTCGGACTTAGCTAATTGATCATAAACAGTAAACATTTGTCACGTGTATCTTGGAATGTATTTAAAAAGGAGGGATGCAGATCCATGTTCTAGTGTTTGCTGAAGGCAGCACGAGGCGCCAGGAACGCCTGAGTTTTATTCCCAGTATGTTACATCTCAGCCTAGGTGAGACTAGATGCTATGACTAGCGTAGGAGCAAAGGAGCGAATGTGGTACAGCTGGGTGTTATATCGCGGTGCTGAAGTAAAACAAAGGGTACAATTCCAGTTAAAATACAAAGACTTTTCTTAATGTAGGCCTCAAGTATTTTTAAGGAATTGCATGCCTGGTGCCTGTGACCTGCTGGGATGGTTATCTTTCGGGTATGTTGTCAGTTCCTTTTATATTGGCAGGAAAACAACGAGGAGTCCGGTGGCACCTTAAAGACTAACAGATTTATTTGGGCATAAGCTTTTGTGGGTAAAAACCCACTTCTTCAGATGCACTTCAGATCCACTTCCTATATTGGCAGTGTTTTCTTCAGCCAAAACAAAATTGGTAGCCAGAACAAACACTGGTCATTAACATATCTTTGTCCCCTTCTCTTAAATATCCTAATAATCATTTAACTTAATTGGACTGGGTTTTCCTCTTTCTGATGACATACAATCAATCAGATTTACTACATTGACATCAATGTTCTTGCACCTGTTTACCGTAGTAATGAATTTGGCCCTAGAATGGAGGCATGTGATATCTGAAACTGTTGTGGGAAGATTTGTATCACTGCTACAAGTAGGCCTTTGTAAAACAGCACAGCACTAAAATGATTTCAGAAATAAACTGCTTAGAATTACCTGCACATTCGGACTGAGTCCATTTTTGTGATAGGTAGCACCATTCTTTGTCACCTGCAACAGAGAAATTAACATTTCAGACAAACTTTACAAAATTGCATTAAAATGAGAAGCTGTATGATTCGTTGATTAACTTCAGAATGACCAGATACAGACACTGGCTCTGGCATGGTGATCTGGGGAGACAGCTAGCTAACCACGCAGCTTTGACTCCCGCTCCTTATTTCCAGCTGCTAAATTGCTTTAAAAGAAAGCTAAAAGTGCACAGGTACTTTCCCACTGTAAGAAACTGCTATAGTTGACAAAAGTATGTTAAGTGATCGTGCATGGGAGGAGAGGTGGTCCCTGGGGGGGAGGAGGTGTCCACAAGACAATCTCTCTATTAAAATGTGTCCCGCTCTCCAAAATATGTGAGAACCCCTGGCTGATGACACACATAAATGTTGTGATTGTACAAAGAATGAGTATTCCCCAGCCATTAGTGAATATTCCCCAGCCATAGTGCAAATCAGGCTGAAAGCTCTGGCAAGCCTAGTTTTTACTAAAAGATGCAAAACCAGAATATAGGAATTGTTTTAGTGGATCAGACATGCGTCCCGTACTGACAGTGGCCAATACTAGATGCTTCAGAGGAAGATGTAAGAACCCTGCTGCAGGGAGAGGTTGGATAATTTCCCCCCTTCATTAGGTCTGATCCTGGTCTCTGATACAGATGGCTTCAACCCTGAAACGTGTGGTTTAATATCCCTTTCAAAACCTGTGTTAGGATTAACTATTATAACTCCGGATATTCTTGTGTAAATGTCCAATCCCTTTTTGAATCTTGCTAAATTCTTGGCTTCAATGACTTCATGTGGCAAGGCGTTCCACAGTCTGAATATGTATTGTGAGGAAAATGTATTTCTTTTTATCAGTTTTGAATTTGCCACCCATTAATTTCATGTAATGTCCCTTGTTCTTGTGTACAAGAAACCTCATATCATCTCAACCTAACAGGGATGGAATCTTCAAAAAAAAAAAAAAATCTTTAAAGAGGATATGGTGGAATAAGGAATTTTCTTATGAAATAAAGCATGCTCCTCATTCCAGCTCAGCTGAATTTGATCTCACTCAGTATGCCCAAGAGTTTCCCTCTGGAGCATCTTCTTATTGCTCTCTCAGGCTCTGTGCCGCAAAGTTAGGTCAACGCAAGCTGCTGTGTGTTGACCTGGTTGTTGTCTACACTTAAATTTGTCTCCACACCTGTGGACTGCCTGAGCCAGATAAGGAGGAGAAAGAAGAGGACTTGGGATGACAGTCAATGAGATCCTGCAAGCTAGTGCTGCATGACACCGCGTGCAAAGGGCCTGGAGGGTGAACATCGCAGACCGTCTGGAGAAGGAAAGAACGGACAGGAGAAAGGCCCAGGAATGCCAGCAGGAAAAGCAGAGGAAGATGCGCACGGACATAATGGAGCTTCTCCATCAGCAAATGCGGATGTTGCAAACTCTTGTGAACCTCGGGCTTGTCCCCCTTTGCAGTCCCTGCAGAACTCAGTAGAACACCTCCTTTCACCATTCCCCCCGCCCCAACATTGAGGGCAGACATTAAGGACAACCACAGCTTCAAATACACTGTCCTCCAAGAAATCCCATATTCCCTGCTGATTTGGTTTTTCTTATGGCAGGGTTGGCAGTTTCCCAGGAAAATCTAGTTTAGGACAGATCGCTGGTAAATACATTTTTAAACCGGGGAAAAAGGGAAAAATAATTGCATCAGTGTCCAACAAGCATAGGATGAAGTTGGTCTTGTGCTACGCAATGCAGCATGGCCAAACAGACCTGGACTGGTAGCTGAAACTCTGTTTGCTTCTGCTTGCTTAATGCTTCAAGCGTACAACTCTGCATTATTGTCTTTCACATCATCAAATGTTTTTGACTTTTGTTTATATAATATTGAAAACTGAAATATGAATCATGCCGTATAACTTCCTTTAGAAAATACCAAACCAAAATTTATACATTCTGATGTTCAATATTATAATTACATACATTAGTAGTACCCTCACTGCAGTTTTACTTTTTATTTGTACAACCCTAAATTAATCTATGAATCTAATCTGTGCCTTATGTAACCACAATTTGAATATGTAACTAAAACTAAGTGTAATGTGGTATGCCTTAATGGAACAGTTTTTAAAATAGAAAATTCCTTAAACTGGGACTCACTAGTTTTTCCCAAGGTGGTAAAAACCATGATTTTACCTGGTAAAAACCTGGTAAATGCCATGCCATCCCTATATTATGGCTCTGCACATACTGGAGCGTTGTGCATCCTGTGCTTGCAACACTTATGACAATCGTGCAGAGCTGGTCAGACGACTTGCTTCTGTCAGAGATGGCAGACAGCAAGGAGGGCCATGCCGGTTTGTGGGATTTTTAAAAAGGTGTGAAAACTAAGGAATATAGATGACATTAGGGGATGAATGCAGTGTTGCTGCAGCCATGTCGGTCCCAGGATATTAGACAGACAAGGGTGGGGAAGGTAATATCTTTTATTGGACCAACTTCTGTTGGTGAGAGAGACAAACTTCCAAGCTTACGCAGAGCTCTCCTTCAGGTCTGGGAAACTTACTCAGAATGTCACAGCTAAACTAATTAAGTAAAAAAAAACAAAAACAAAAAACGGTATTCATGTTAGAAGAAGAATAAATTTTACATTTTAATTAGAGCTTTTATAATAATATTTTGCATTGACATTTTTCATGAAAAAATTGGGGTTTTAACTAAATCTTAATTTTTTGGCAGGAAGACTTTCTGCATGCAAAATTTTTGACCAGTTCTACCAAACATTTAAAAACGTACAGAGCCCCAAAATGTTTAGCTCTGGCTTTCTCCAAATTGATTGTACCTAGGGTTTTGATTCAGGCCCATCTCTGTTGAAAGAATTGCCACACCTCCACATTTGATCACTTTCTATATTATGAGACAGTAAAATGTGATGCGATAAGTATGGGATGGGATGGCTGGCTAACTTAATCAGAAGAAGCTTAATTAATAAATGTCTAGCAGACGCTGGGCAAGTCAACCTGCATGGCATTTGACAATCATGTTTTGTAATATTCATTACCGTTGCAGAGATGAATGGCGGCCAAAGTATTTTTGGCATCTCCAGCTAGCACAGTGGCTCAGCATGTGCTTTAACAATTACTGCACCGGAGTTGCATAGTGCAGGGAACTCAAGCACGCTGCAGTGGCCGCAGGAACTGCTGGAAAAGAACTACTGCACCTTGAGAGCAACCTTAGTTCCGACATTAAGTGATTATTTTCCCTCTGTCTGCCCAGAAATGATCTGATTAAGGCCAATATACGTGTTAGTCAGAGCTGGGAAGGTAACTTGTCAAACAAAAGTGGGACTCTCTAACACATACTGGTTCACAGGAGCGCCGTCAGCTTTTCTGCTGCCCTAGGCGGCGGAAGGTCCCGCCCCGAAATGCCGCCTCCCACAGAGGCAGCGGAAGGTCCCGCCGCCGAAATACTGCCGCGGTTGCTGCCCCCCAAATTGTAGCGCCCTAGGCGACTGCCTAGGTTAATATATTGTGAGCTCGCGGCGGCATGGGACTGGCTTTTTGTTCTGTGTTTATATACACCTAGCACAGTAGGTTCATGACTGGGGCTCCTGGGTGTTGCTGCAGTCTAAATAATAATGTACAAAGTGATTTAGAGCTGAGGGATGCATGTATCGAATGCATATTTCATTGGCTAGAAATGCAGAGGCTGCTACACGGAGCTTTGAAACTATGGGGACAAAAGCCATGAAAACAGGGTCATAGAAGGACACGGGGAATCCCCTTGGGAGCAAAAAGGCATCACCAGGTTGATAATCACAGTCCACTATCTTCACATCCCTATGCCAGGGGAGCAAATGCCTCTGGAAATGGGTAGTGGGATATGGATGGATCCTTTCATCACCTGTTTGAATCCAGCCCAGTTCACCAATGTGATCAAATGTCCTCTGACACCCTGTTTGGTGGCCTGTGTCAAAAGAATTTGTGGGTCTCCATCCAGTTCCCAGTGGGCAGGTGAATGCATCAGAAAAACCTTGGATCTTTAACCAAGGAACCTGCACATCCAGATGCTGAAAAATAACTAGAGAAGATGAGAGAAACTTCAGGCAGGCCCTGCTGCTTTATATTTACTACACGTAGAATGCACTGAGGCATATAATTTAGATTTATATAATTTGTATACGAATTGCATAATTTGTTTGTACAATTTGGATCTGCATCTGACCCTAGGGTGCTTTCTATGAACCTTTTAGAAGTTCAGAAATTACTAATAAGGATGTAGCCTTCTCCTAACTGCGTATCACAGCTGCAGTTTAGAATGACAGATCATATAATGGGCTAAATACTCAGGAATTCTTCAGGAAAAAAGAGTCAATAAATCTGAATGTGGGTTTCACAATGAACGAGTGACAAGGATTTCTTAGTAAACAGTAATTGTAGTACTTAGTGTTGAATTAATATTGGTTGTGAATAAGCCCTTTCTTCTTTATTTTCTTAAGAAAAACAGCTGAGAACCAGGATGTTTAGTGTATTTATGACTTAGTCAGAAACCCGCCTAGTTAAGAATTTGCATTATGAAGCAGTATTTGATAAAGGCGTGATTTCTCCCTGTGTATGTGAACTTTGAGTTGTAAAAGTTCCCTTCACCCGCTGGATTCAGTTTCTGAGCCTTTCATTGAATAAGATGGAAATGAGGATGGAGGTCACATCCAGCCTGTTACTCATGGACTACGGTGAAGTTATCCCCTAGACTGTATTGTCTAGTTCAGTTTTAAATAGCTAAAGCAGGGGGCTCCTCCCACTTCACTGTCAGGAAACATTTCCTGGTGTACAGTTTACATTTTCCCTTTGCTTATCTGTATCCCTCATTCCGAGTAACACTCTAAACAATTCCTTTCCTTCCCTGGTGTATACAGCCTTCAAATACCGTCTCCCTGGTTTCCAATTCCTAATCCTGTTTAAGCTATCTCATTCTGGTTTCTCTTGTGATCCCAATTCCCCAGTCTAT